GTTTGATTAATGGAATACATCTCCTCTTTCTTCATAGATGCGTTTGGGTAGAATGAAATCTAATAGGCTTGCTCGGTCGGGTTCTCTCGGTTGAGCGCCGGTCGCGCTCCCCGATTTTGGGACGTGACATTAACAATTTGAGGATGCCTGATGGGCACGCATCAAATTTATCCAGGTGTGTTGACATAAAAAAAGGGAAGTTGGCGTCAATGAAAAGCCACGATTGTCATATTTTCATGGAAGCGTTGATTCCTATTGCATTCAATGCATTGCCTGATCGAATATTGAAATCGATTACAGAGATAAGTTGCTTTTTCAAGGATTTGTAGTAACGACCCGGCCGGTCGTTTGGAGAGTTATAGCTCTGTTTTTCCCATTTCTACTTCTTTTTGTGTTATTCAGCTATATTAAGTTATATCGGGTTAGTTGGTTCGGGATCGGAGTAGTTTCAGAGTGAATTGAGACACTTAGTCTCTTAAGTAGAAACTTAAGTTGGAAAAGTCAACCGGATGCTGACCTATGTGTAAACGATCTCGGATTTGAATTCTGATGGTTTCGTTAGCTCCGTTAGGTGATTTTGGACTTAGAAGTGCGTATGGAATGTGATTTGGAGGTCCATGGTAGAATTAGGCTTAAATTGGCGAAATTGGAAATTTGGCGATTTCGATCGGTAGTGAAAAATTTGATATCGTGGTCGAAATGGAATTCTGGAAGTTGGAGTAGGTTCGTAGTGTCATTTGTGATGTGTGTGCACAATTTGAGGTCATTCGGACGTGGTTTGGTTGGTTTCGGCATCGGTTGCCAAATTTGGAAATTTAGAAGTTCTTAGGCTTGAATCCGAGGGTAATTTGATGATTTGATGTTGTTTTGAGTGATTCGAAGGTTCGACTAAGTTGGTATGTTGATATATGACTTGTTTATTTTTTTTGTTTTGTTGAAGCCCCGAGGGCCTCGGGGTGATTCCGAGTGGTTAACGGATTTGTCGAAGTTGGAAAATGCAGCTGAAGCTGCTGCTACTGCTATTTTTGCACCTGCGGAAGAAAGAGTCGCAGGTGCAAGGCCGTTGGTGTGCGTGGGGAGTTCGCAGGTGCGGGCAATGCTGGGCTAGGCAGGTTGCGCAAGTGCAAGTTGGAGGTCGCATCTGCGAGCCCGCAGATGCGAAACCTGGGGCGCAGATGCGAAAAGGGATATGCTGGGCAGGCTTCGCAGAAGCGGAGGAAAAGCGCAGGTGCGCCTTCGCAGGCACGAGAATTTTCTGCGCAGATGCGGAAAAATGTGAGGCCAAGGCTGGAACGCAGGCGCGAAGGATTTGGCCGCACCTGCGAGCCTGCATGTGCGAGGCCTGTAGCGCAGGTGCGGAAGCTGGGAAATTAAGTGGAGTTCGCCGATGCGGCGCCTTGACCGCAGGTGTGGTCCCACAGGCACAGAAAAAGAGCCTGCAAGTGCGAAAAACCTAGGCAGAAACCATAAATAAAACCCTTCGCGAATTTGGTTCATTTCCACCATTTTCAAGTCGGTTTGTGGAGCTTTTGGAGTGATGTTTGAAGGGTGATTCAAGGGCTATCAGTGTGGTAAGTTGCTTGAGCCCTAATACTTGTATATATGGTGATTTTTCGTTATTAGTGAAAATGAGGGGTTAGGGCTTGAGATTTTTGGAGAAGTAATTTAAGGATTTGAAGGACCAAACGATGTCGGATTTTGATGAATTTGGTATGGTTAGACTCGTGAGTGAATGGTCTTTCTAGTTTTGTAAATTTTGTCGGATTTCGAGACGTGGGTTCGGGGGCCGGGTTTGAGCCAATTTCGGGTTTTGGTCTAATTTTGTAGCTTTTCTTGTGGAATTCATTCCATTAGCGCGTATTGATGGTATTGTACTGATTGTGAATAGATTCGGAGCATTTGAAGACCGAGTCCAGAGACAAAGGCATCCCGAAGTAGGATTTTTACGCTATTAAGGTAAGTAACAGTTTGAACTCTAGCTTTGAGGGTATGCTGGGTGACAAGCGTGTGGGTGCGCACCGCGAGGGATTGAGACTTGGTCCGTCCCGTGAGGCTGTGAGGCCTAATGGATATTATCAGTGGTTATGTGTTTATTTGTTGTTGAACTTGTTTGCCTTCATGTTAGAGATCATGCTTAGGCTTTATTCATGCTCACATTATTTGTACTCAGTCATAGAAATTATTGTATATGTTTACCTCAGTCTCTATTATTTTCTAATATGCTGTGATACTTGATGTGGGTTGTGTTCCCTTATTTGTTGATGATGGTGAGGCTAGTGAGGTACATGATTGAGTGATACCAAGGGCCTGGTTGTGAGGATATTAATACCATAGCGCGTGAGTTGTTCACGTAGCACGTAAGTTGACCGTGCGGGTCCAGGTATTGATACTATAGTGCGTGAGTTGTCCGCGTAGCACGTGAGTTGACCGTGTGGATCCAGGTATTGATATGACGGCACGTGAGTTGTCCGTGCTTAGCACTTGGGCTTTGGGAGCCCCTCCGGAGTCTGTACACACACCCAGTGAGCATAGAGTGTTGAGTGTTGAGTGCTGAGTGCGAGTGATGAGTGCTGGAGTGACACTGCTGTGAGGTTGTATTTATTTGTGTTGTTGCTCTGTTAAACTTCTTTGTGGCATTTACTGAGTTATGGAATTTACCTGTTTATTTCTGTTTATTTTTAAATTGTGAAAATGAATAATTGGACTATTTTACTTAGCTCGTCACTATTGCTCAGTTCCTTAGTTATTCCTGTTACTACTGAGTCGGTTGTACTCATACTACACCCTACACTTTATGTGCAGATCTAGGTGAGTTAGAGCGTGGCGATCGTTGAGTTCAGGCCGGCTATCTGTGGAGATTGCATGGTAGCTGCTAGCGTCCGCAGGACCTTGTTACTCCTTTTGTCATTTCTTTTTTTGGATAGTTAGACAGTTTATATATCTTAGTTTATAATTTTAGACGCTCATGGCTTAGTGACACCCCGATGTTTGGGGCTCATTTTTCATATTTCTATAATTATATTTAGAGTTGATTTAGTTTATAAAAAAATTTAAATGTTGGAAATATTTTATTAAATTCTTATAATCGGTTTAGTAGTAATATTTTGGGAAGTAGGCTTGCCTTGTAATACGATCTTCGCCATCACGACCATGGTTAGATTTTGGGTCGTGACATTTGTGTTCTAGCACATTGAGGGTGGAGAACCTAATTTATATGGAGAGTAACATTATCTTAACTTTAAATAAGCTGGCAAAAATTTTCCCTCTTGTTTTTTTTTGATGTAATGGAACATCTTCCAATTCACAAGAGGCACGGCTTGGAGGGCCAGTTCAATGTAGATGGATGTATCCCTTCGAGAGGTAATGACATTTAATCATTTACCTTTTATATTTGCTTTAAAGAATGTTTCGTCTAAAAATAACACTATGAATGACTATTGGCAAATGTAAACGGACCATAAAAAATAGATCAAGAATTGAGGGCTCGATATGTGAGGCATATGTGGCTAAAGAAACATCTTATTTCTGTTCATACTATTTTGAACATGATGTGCCATGTTTAAGAAATAGACCGAATCGGCATGACGATGGAGGCGAAATCAATCCTTTGGCACCACCCTTTTTCCATTTTTAATCAATTAGGTAAAGGAGGTCCAAAGAATAGTCCAAAGCGAAGGTTGTCTGAGATGGAGCTAAAGCCAGCTACAACACATGTATGGTTGAATTTCCATGAGTTCCAACCTTATTATAGGTAAGTATATATTCGTATATATTACAGACTTTTACATTAGATCTACCATTGATTTAACTAATAAAAGTTATAATGGCAGTTACTTTGTAGGTACATATGGGCAAGATGTTGTTTATCCCAAGTTTTCAGAGTGGTTTAAAGGATTTGTAAGTATTACTTATTATTTAACCTGATTTTTATTATATGTAAATTAATTATATGTATTTTGAAAAATCTAAATTATATTTAATTAAATATCTAGGTTCATGATCCAGCTAATGGCATTAGTGACCCATTTTTACGTGATATAGCTTGGGGACCTGACCCTAGAGTCAGAATGATGTCTAAATACTTGGTCAATGGGTACAAGTTTCATACAGAAGAATGGTTTAATGGAAAGAAAACCAACAATAGTGGGGTGTGGGTGAAAGGTGATGGAGATATTGATTATTATGGTGTGCTTCAAGAGATTTTGGAATTGGAGTATACTGTAGGTTGGCCGAAGAAAACGTTGATACTCTTTCGATGTAAATGGTATGATCCAACACCGAATAGAAGTATAAAGGTGCACACTCAATACAAAATAGTTGAAATTAAACACACTGGGCGGTATAGAATTTATGATCCCTTTATCATTGCACAAAAGGTGAAACAAGTGTATTATGCTCCTTATCCTTTAAGCAAGAATAAGTCTGCATGGCGGGTAGTTTTGAAAACAAAACCCGTGGGTAGAGTGGTAGTCGAAGATGCATTAGATGTGGCATACCAGAATGACATTTCAAATGTTGAATCAATAGTGGATGATGAATTGAAACATAATGAAAGGATATATATAGAATTTGATCCTTCTGTCCTTGGACCAAATGAGGACGAAGATAGAAGTATTGAACATGAAACAAGTGATGAGGAAGAATTACTAGATGAAAGTGAAACAGGCGATGATGAAAACTTAGATGATTACTATGAAGATAGCGATGAGGATTGACTTGTTATTCTTTTTTAGGTTGTTCTTCCTTCAATCATTTAATATATTTGAAGAATTGTTGTGTGTTGTTTTATGATATGTTAAGNATATATTTTTATGACATGTTAAGCATTTTATGTTATTCCTTTAATTATCTATTATGTTGTAAAATTATTTTATATTTTTATGGCTTATTAAGTTGTTTATTTATTTATTTAGTCATTTAATTTGTAGAATAATTATTTTATATTTACTATTACTTGTTGTATTTTTTGTTTTGTATTTTATTATGATTATATTATAGATATGACATCTAAAGGGAAGGAAAAGATGAAATCTAAGAAGATAAAACAATCTGTTCCAACTACCTCAAGTATGCCAAATATGAGTCCTCCTCTTCCTCGCCATCCTCTTCCTCATCCTCCTCAGTTAACTTCATTACCATCTACCATGTTCACTATCCCCCCTCCATCTAATAATTCAGTTCAGTATTATTCTATGCCTACCAAAGGAAGTCAAAGTGTAAGGCCCCGTAAATTTTACCTAAAACTCGGGACTTCGTGGTGTCGGGGTAGACATACGTGTACATGATTGTAAAGATTCTTCACGGCGAGCTTGCGAGCCACGGTATGGACTTTTTGGGTTGAACGGTGTGCTGGAAAGTAAAGGAAATATTTTTCATGTTGGGATGACACTATCGCGCCGCACGCCACGCAGCCCCATGTGGCACGCTTGTGGCAATTTCCAGAACACTTCAAAAAAAATGTTTCTGGGAACATTTTTCACTGTCGTGCCCCATGCGGTGCGGCTGTGCTAATTTTGGGTTATTATAACCCGACCCCCATTTCATTTATCTAGCCTAAGGGTTCGTTTTAGGGGGATTTTTTGCTGTTTTAAAGATAGGGGAGAGCGATTCTAGAGAGAGAAAAGGGAGGACTAAGGATTTCACTACTCTACCTTGAATCAAACCTTGAAATTTCATCAAAGGGTTGCTAGGGCTTCAAAGAGGTAAGAATTTCTTTCCCCAATTCTTCAATTTCGAAATTTAACTAGAAATGGGTAATTAGTAAGATAATATTTGGGCATGAGAGTTGTCCATCTTGCATGCATGTGTTATCAAAAGGGTGTACGGAGATTGTTGAGCTAAAAATGGTAGATAATGGGTTTCGGATGATGGAATCCTCCCTAAAAGGACCCTGGAACCTTAATGCACACCTAGTGTTTGATAAAATGCTCAAATGAGCTAGAACCATGATCATCTTCCTAATTTTGGTTCAATTTGTTACATTTCTAAAATAGATTGAAGTTGCTAAGATTTCCGAAATATTTTAGAGTGTAAGGAAGCTCAAGTGAGGTATGTTGGCTAAACTCCTCTCTTAGAATTGAATCCCACGGTATTCATGTAACTTATATAAGTCCCAAGTGGTTCACTATAAAAGTTGGCTATTTCGAATGAGTAGTATTGAAAGATATATGTTCAATATGTATACCAAATGATTTTATCATGTTATGTTATCATTTGAGAATGTGTTCAAAGTATGAGTTGTACATTAAAAATGTTTTGACTTCAAGTCAAGTCCAAATGAAGGCTATTATGCCAAATTTTATGAAAACTCTCTATGTGCCTAAGACTCTTAAGTACTCACATGTGTACTAAAACCATTGATTTGAAATGCCTTGTTGTGGATGATGATGATGATGTTTGAAAGTGAAAAAGGTGAGCATAAAATATTAAATACGGCCGACGTGCCAAGAATGATTTTATAATTGTAGCCACTAGTGCCAATGAATTAAAAAGATATGAAAGAAGTATGAAATGAGATGATTGGTATAAAAAGGATGATGTCTCGAATGAGATGACCTAGCCGATCGGGTCGTTATTGGATGCCATATCGCACACATGGTGGTGATTGTGCTGGAAATTATGATTTTGGTTGATGTCTCGAATGAGATAGCCTAGCTGATCTGGTCGTGATCGGACTCCGTGCTAAAAGTATAGTGGTATTGGTATTGTGAAAGGTGGCATTATTGGAACTAAAAATCTCCCAACTTAAGATATGGAAATTAATTTGAACATTGTCTTGATCTTAATTTGAGGTTTGATGTTGTTTGAGGCTTCCACTAAAATTATGATTAATCTTACTCGTATTATTTATCATTCTATTGAGAGGGTGTTTTGTCATTCATACTAGTACTATTCCATATGTACTAACGTCCCTTTTGCCGGGGACGTTGTATCTTCAATGGATGCAGGTGGTTCTACAGCAGGAGACATTGATCAGTGATAGCCGTACACCCTCTTCCCACCTGACTTGGTAAGCCCCACTTCATTTCGGGGTCATGTATATTTTGTTCTTGTGTATTGTGTTTGAGGTATAACCGGTGCCTTATTGCCGGCATTATCATAGTACTCTTCTGTATCTATTAGAGGCTCTGTAGACATAGTGGGTTGTATATTGATATTGGGGAAGTCAAACGAGTTATGTTGTGTTTGAATTAATTATTCCACTCAGACTATGAAAAATGTGTGTGTAATTTGAGACTTTAAATGAAGTAACTAATGGTATTGAATTGGTATTGTATACATGGTCTCCTTATCGTATAATTAACAAAAATATGTATTCTCTATATTCATAAGTGATGTGGGTAGAAAGTATCTAACAGGATTACTTGACCGCATTCTCTCGGTTGAGCGCCAGTCGCACTCCTCGAGTTTGGGGCGTGACACAAAGTAACACTGTTTTTAACTTTGTACCCACACCTTCTATACAATCATCTTAACCGGCTATCGTGGTAGTCAGTATGGTGGCTCACCTGCTGCTATACCCCCGAGATTTTATGGTAGTCAGCATACTAGCTCACCAGCTGCTGCACCCCCGAGCTTTCATGGTAGTCAGCATGGTGGCTCACCAGCTGTTGCATCCCCGATCTTTCATGGTAGTCAACATGATTGTTCGTCTTTTGTTGCTCCATCATCTTCCAGTCCATCATCATCATCCATTCCCAACATATCTAGGTTGGATATTGGAGGCTCTCGCCCAGTTACATCTAGTGCTGCTTCTGCACCATCTAGTAGACGCAGGCAGAATCTTGGAGGGGATGTACAATTTAATAGTTATAATCGATTGATAATCATCCCCTACGAGGATGGGTAAGAAGGTTCTTATACTATTTTCTAAGTTTTGAGTCTACTTTTAGATATGTTAATATTAAGGAATATTTATTTATAATTAAATTTTTTGAAATTTAAGGGCATAAAAGTCTATCAATATTTTAGAGTTATTTTAGTCGTTCAATATTTAGCGTAGAACATTCGTACTTTTATAATAATAG